ATAACAAAGATTTCTTTTTCATTCCTGCCACGTGTCTTTCTTGGGTTGGTTGTTTCTTTGCTCCATGTTGGTTCTCTACCAGGATCCAGGCTAATGGAACAATCTTTATTTGGAGCATTGTTGATCTCATGGCAGTGAGAAAAGGCACATGGCTAGCTCTTAATGTTTCTGCTCTGATATGACACATGTCACTCGCAGTCACATTTCATCAGTCAGAGCAAGTCATGTGGCCAAGCTGGTATCAGTGGGTCAGAGAAGTATGTTGTGAATAGAAAACATTCTGCCATGGTGCAGTCCTGGTGGTTTGCCAGGCTCTTGTCGAGAGGGCCTCCCTGGCTCCCCTGAGATTCTCTGCCACTGAACTGTCCCACCCACTGAACTGCTTCTGGAAATAATTGACTTTTACTGGGTCCCTAGAGGAAGGGCTATTTCTGTCTGGTTCATTGCCTCATTCTCATCACAGTGCTTGGCATACCTTGGACATTACCTAAACATTTATTGAAATAATATGGAGTTGATATAGCCAATTGTGAAAATATTCTACAGAATGAGGCCTTTGTCCTTGATTACTTGGTTCTTCTCCCTAAAACTTATCCTCACCCCTTCCATGTCCTGTGGTGGACCCTGAGGAGATGTGAACTGAGGGCTGCATGTCAATCACCCTTCCCATAGTCCTACCTTAAAGTGCTGCCCTCTCCAAGGCCACCCAGAGTAGAATGCAAACCCATCAAATAAGATGTCCAGACAGTGACCATCACCCTCAGGCCCCCTTTGGGCTCTCACACCACAGTGTGCCCTGAAATCGACTTCTTCACCCCATCTTTATCTATTTGCTGCCTCAGAGTGGCATCCCTGCCCTGGTAGAGCCCTCGAATCAGACCTCACCTCCGGTTCCAATCCCCAGTGTTCATGCTGCAGCTACTGTGTGTCAGACCAGCATGAATCCTCTGCAGACTGGTGGCCCCAGGGACCTTCGCAGAGGATTCCAAGGCAGCATCTTAAATGCACCCTGATGTGCAGATGATACTGCAGCATCTTTGCAAGAGTACATCCAGTTTACCCACTGCTTTCCCATGGGAGCTTTTGGGGAGAAGAGAGACAGAAAAAACTTGAGAGAGAGTAAATATCAGTTTGTTTAAGTGTACAAAAAAACCAAAATCCAATCTGTTAAGTTTGTGGAAGTCTGCACCATCTGGTTAAGCACAGCTTGATGCTTTCTGGCAGGCAACATCTGCAGGTTAGGGAGGGCGGCCGGCCACCCCTCCTCAGCAAGGCAGACAGGGGAGCTCTACACCGATGGCCTTGCCAGGGCACATGATGTCCTCAACGTGTCTCTCTGTGGAAGCAGTAGCCTGTACAGGGAACGGGCATCCCATGGGACTGGGCTGTGCTTGGCAGGTCAGCTGGTTGGCCCCTGGACACCTCTGTGTGGAAGGAAGAAAATTAGTTCGATGTCTGAGAGGTGAGACTGTCTCTAGCTCGCTGTGTGGCTGTGTGATCTCGGGCCAGTAGTTTTTTCTCTCAGGGCCTCAGTTTCCATGTTTGCAAAATGAGCAGGCAGTTATAAGATCCCCCTCTAGTTTCACTAAGATGCACCATGGGGATCACGGGCTTCGGAGCTAGAATTCCCAAGGATGCGTCCGTTCATTGGCCAACTCACTCAGCCTTGGGTTTCTTACCTGTAAACCAGAATCTTAATAGTGTTCACCACATAGACGAGCAACTAAGAAACAGCATGGGACAGACTTAGTTCAAGTCTGGCACCCACTAGTGCCCGATAAAAAGTTCCTAGGAAAATAATAAAGTTCTGTAACTATAAAAAATAAAGTTCTATAAATCTCAGCTATATCTATAGAATAAACTGTCAAGGACTAGGCTATTTTGTAACCAATTTTGCCTCCCAGTCTTCCCTGGATATCTCCCCCCCCCCATCACCCCAAGATAGTCTTTACACCTCTCTGCCTCCATCCGGACCTGTCTGAAGGAAATCTATAATCAAGTCCTACAGGAGTGTAAGGTGATACTTGTAAGGTGTGAAGTCTACGGGAATGGTGAGGTTCATAACCAAAAGTGGTGGAATTTCAAGCCCTGCCCAATGCCCTGGTATGAGGCCTGGCTGTTCTGTACAGCAGCAAAGCCAACCTCAGCAGCCACCATGCACACACCTCTGCACTGGGCCCTGCTAGACTTGTGTTGGGATCATTGGCTTGAGCTAGAAGACAGGAGCTCTGAGTGCTCAACCTGCATCTCTCTGGCCACCCCAGATGTCAAGAACTGATACACACTCAAGTCACCTGCTGTCTTCATGCTGGACAAATTCTGGTGTCAGACCCAGCTACTTGATGAGTCAAAGAAGCTGTCGCCATGTCAGATTATTCTGGGGGTGCTAGGAAAGTGAACTTGTTCCAAATACCTTGTATGTCCCACTGCCAAACCACCCACAAATCTCTACTTGCTACCTCCTTGATAGATGCTTTCTTGCAAATACCTATGGAGGGTGGTACCTAAGGAGGGCAAAAGCTTTGTTGGTCATTAAACGTTAGTGTGAATTAGCTTGTCAGGTAGGTAACATGGATACCAATCAAGGGCTAGGAGCATAGGATGAGCACCGGTGAGTATGATGAGAGGTGTGGGCGTGGACAAGAGGCAGGATGGGTGAGCTCACCTGAGCACCAGGCAGATTGCCAGGAGCATCTCAGGGGGGCACTGGGTGGGAAGAAAGGCAAAATCCCTAGGAAATACCTATGTAAATAATGTCAACAACTACACCCATGCTTCTCCTGGAAAAGCACAAGCTACAATGTGAGCACGCTTCTCCTGGACAAGCACAAGCTACAATGTGAGCATGAATTAGGAAAGCTGAATCTCCCACATTCTCAGGGAAAACTAGCTGGGTTGAACATTTTCAAAGAAGTATATTGGTTTTCAATATAGTGCCTTCCTGAGGGATTTTCAAGGGTCATTTTAACTGTAGGAGATTTTTTTGTGGCGGCTGACTTTGGAATCCAAACTCCAGGTTGCTTCTCCTGGAAAAGCACAAGCTACAATGTGAGCATGAATTAGGAAAGCTGAATCTCCCACATTCTCAGGGAAAACTAGCTGGGTTGAACATTTTCAAAGAATTATATTGGTTTTCAATATAGTGCCTTCCTGAGGGATTTTCAGGGGTCATTTTAACTGTAGGAGATTTTTTTGTGGCGGCTGACTTTGGAATCCAAACTCCAGGTGACATGAGGCTCTGATATACAGAAAGCAAAAATCCAATGATTCTGGACAAATAGCAGGTAAGATGTACAGCCACTGCCCACTAAACCCATCAGAGTTTATGAATGACTGGTCTCCGTGCCCTGGCCCCCAGCACAGGGCACGCCTTAGACTCCCTGACTCATTACTTGAAAATCCCAGGAAGCCCCCACCCTCCTTCTTTCCTGAGTGGCTGTGCCCTGCTCCTGCGTGACAGAAGGATGCAGAGAATTCCGCATTTGAGCCTCTGAGGAGAGTCAGTGGAGGCCCAAGGGTGCTCCCAGCAGGCGGTGCAGTCTTCTCTGCCAGGCCAGCTGCTCCCTCTCACCTCAGACTCACCTTCCGCAAATGTGCCCATGACACTGCCACTGCATCAGGCTGAGTCTTTGTGCATTGGCCTAGTGTGGAGAACACTAACATTTATAAAGCAAGTGTATTTCACAGGGCCTAGCTCCCAAGGCCCTGTAGTTTCAGGTATATACTAACTTTTTAAAATTACACATAGAAATGTTAAGTTTGCGAAAGACAGAAAACTTTCCCTGGGCTATAGTCTCTGTTGCAGATAAAGAATTGAAACACAGCAAAATTGCTGGCTCCAAGGGCAGATGTCCTTGGTGCAGCTAAACCTAATGATTGTTGCCATGACAATTATCTTACTGTTCTTTTTGTAACCACCTGTGTTCCTTTTCTGTAACTTTCTGGCCTGGAGAATAAATACTGAGAGAAAACCAGAGTTCAGTGTTAATTTTCTGAGGAATGCTGCTCTTTTGAGGGTTCCTAGAAATTAACCCCTTCAGGGTCTCTCACTGCTTAGAAGAAATGGCTTTTGAGTAATCCTTTGCATCTCCATCACCCTGGGAGAGGTGACAGCCTAGAACTGATGATGATGATGATGATGACGATGATGATGATGCTAAAGTTAAGCTAATTCCGAGTGAAGATTGACCATGGTGAGTGCTGCAGGCTCCAACGCCTCGTCTCATCCAGTCCTCACAACACACCGGGAAGAGGAAACAGATGAGAAGGGTCGAGTGACTTGCTCACAGTCACAAAGCTATCAAATGGTGCTGTGAGGTGGGAAGTTCAAGTTTTGCTGGCTTAAGAACCCATGGTCTCAACCACTGTACCATTTGGCCTCAACACATGGTTATAAAAAGTGTGGTTAGCACCAAATGGCTCGTGGGACCAGGACCCAGAACTTTTCCTAGTCACAGCCCTCATCACAATGTGTCAACTTGTTGGCTCCGAGCTCCTCCAGGTCAGGGACTGTGTCTGATTCACCTTTACATAGCCAGCTGCAACAGGGGTCTTGGCACATGGTCAGTGCACAACAAATGGCTGACAGGTGAATAGACGGATGAACACATAAATTAATCCATTGATCCAAATCAAACACTAGTCTTCTCCAGGAACCCTCCCTACTATAAAAGCCCCCAGTTTCCCCCCAACTCTCTAAACTCCTCCAGCACTTTTTCCTTGTAGAACAGGTCATTGTACCCTGTCTTGCCACATGCAGCTCTTTTGTCTGTAAATTACTGATGCCTCCCCATGCAGACCATAGCAATTCAGGGGCTGGAATGGTGCTTGGCATTTCTTTTCCCGAGTCACATAGCTCAGGGCTAGGCACAGACCTCTCTCAGTATGCTAAGTAGTACATCCTGACCCAGGAACAGAAAACAGAAGGTGAGGACACCCACCCCTGCCCCATGAGAAATGACCGTTTGTTCTTCCTGTCCCCTGTTCCCTGCAGGAGCCTCCTCTGGCATCATTGACCTCTTACCATCTCCCAGCGCTGCCACTAACTGGACTGCAGGACTGCTGGTGGACAGTAGTGAGATAATCTTCAAGTTTGATGGCAGGCAGGGTGCCAAGATCCCCGATGGGATTGTGCCCAAGAACCTGACGGACCAGTTCACCATCACCATGTGGATGAAACACGGCCCCAGCCCCGGCGTGAGAGCTGAGAAGGAAACCATCCTCTGCAACTCAGATAAAACTGGTGAGTCTCAACCCAGCTTGCCCAGTGGCTACCTCTGTCCCAACTGGTTGGGCACAGATATGGCCCTGGAGGATGTAGGAGAAAAGCAGGCATGTGAGAGGGTCCCTGGGAATATATTTTGGTCTCTGGTTTTCTGCCTGCCAATTTACTGGGTTGGGTCAGAGCAGGAGCTGGAAAGCAGGAAAAGCAAAGAAACAGACATAAAAAATGCAAAAGCTGGAATTAGTGGGTTTTGACCTGGGTTTCTCAGAACTCCAGGATCCCCAGAGGTACCGTAGGGCTTCTATAGATGAGGTGAGGGTGGAGGAGGAATCTTCATTCTTACTTCAAGCAAAGAAGCATCACTTTAATATATTATGTAAAGATTTCCAAAAGCTTTCTTTTGAATAAAAGAGACCTACTGATTTAAAATAGTAGTTCAAAAATCACTTCCATATGTAATAGCAATAGCGAACATTTGTTAGGCATTGTCAGCATGCTGAGTGTGTGCAAGGCAGTTCACAACTTGGTGGTTAGAAATGCTCCAGCACTTATTAGCTACATGACCTTGGGCAAGTCATTTCACCTCTCTGTGCCTCACTTTTCTGTCTACAAAATACACATTAGAATATTATCTCCTCAAAGGGTTTTTGTGAGGATTAAATGACTCCACATCCTTAAAGTGCTTAGGACTGTGCTTGGCACATAGAAGTGTGACCTGTGTTAGCTATTACTATTCTAAACAAAACATCTTTACAATTTTATAGATGCATTATTGTGTTTCCCATTTAAGGATTAAAAAACATCCCTGAGAGGTTAAGTGACCTGCCACAAGTAGTTATATAGCCAGTATCAGAACTGGAATGTCAGCCTAGATCCAACTAACTCCAAATCCTATGCTCTTGTCGCTGCACCCACACACACACACATGCAAACACATGCACGCACACACATGCACATGCAAATATCCTCAAATTTTACAACTCTGTCTTTAATTATAACTTCAAATTTTCCATTCCAAATACTACTTTTGTTAAAATACTCAAAATGAATAACCACCATAGCAGAGATAACAGTCAGAAGACAATGTGGAGGAATGGCTAACAGTTCAGCCTCTGCTGCCAGGCAGCCAAAGTTCATATCTCAGCTTCTTGTGCTATGACCTTTGAGAAGTTGCTGATCTTTGAGGCTCAGTTTCCCCATATGTAAAATGGGGGAAATAAGCATGAAATAAAGTATTAGATCATTTAGCAATACCAGACATAAAAGGGGTGCTTTTATCAATTTACCTGATGTTATCATTCTCATTATTACTTCTGCATTATGCTCCTACCAGAACCCCCACATTCCCTGCTTTCCTTGATCTTCACAATAAATGTTCACATGTTTTCTGATGTAGAGACAGAGTTGCCTGCCTTTCCCCTAGTCACATGGTAGGTCTGAGTAGGATCCAGTGCCAAGGACAGGTTTTCTCTGAGAACTTCATGCAGGGAGGACCCAGCAGACCTGCATGAGATGGCACTGCAGTTTGAGACCAGGTTTCGGCCTGTGCAGCGCCTGGTGAGCACTCCCATCATGATCCAGGATCCAGTGTCACAGTGGGGCAACAGCCTAGACTTCGAACAGAGCAGACAAGCTTAAAGCAGCATGAGCTGAGGTCAGCAGCCACACACATGCAGTCCTTTCAGAGATGTATCAAGTATGCCTGTGAGGCAGGTCAGACAGATATAAATGTTCCTGCTTACAGAAGAGGCAACTAGAATCCAGAAGGTTGAGTGCCTGGCCCAGGATAACATAGCCAATGACCAAGAAAAGCAGGATTGGACCTGGCTCCTCTGACCCATCTTCCAGGCCCATCCTATTGTACCAGCAGTTCTTGCTAGAATAAACTGGCACCCCTGTAAAAATACCGTGTGTAGATGCCAGGCCTCACTCCAGCTCAGCAAAGGATCTCAGGGGATGTTTTCAGGCAGCAGCAGCTGGAAACTCTACATTAGATGATGATGTCTGACTGTCATCATAGCAGTCCACCAAACAGGCATTCAGCCCCAACACCTGGTACAACTCACCTTCAACCCTGTATAAAGTAACAGTTTACAAATGAGCTCAAAATTGGCACCAAGAAGATGGGAAAAATTTTCTCCAACTTCTCTGACTTTAAAAAAAAGTCTATAAATATCTCCTTGTCCTAAATTTAAAAAAGAAATACACACACACACACACACATATACATGTGTGTGTGTGTGTGTATCAGCGAGAAATTAAAGATTAATTGGGTTTTTTTATATCAGAAATTATTTTCGGGGGCCGGCACGGTGGCGCACTGTAGCAGTGTGCCGCTTGGGAGTGCGGCGGCGCTCCCACCGAGGGTTTGGATCCCACATACAGACCGGTTCCTGCTCACTGGCTGAGCGAGGTGTGCGGGAGCAACACCGAGGGTTGCGATCCCGTTGCCGGTCCCGGTCCGGTACGGGCGCGACACTGAGGGTTGCGATCCATTGCCGGACACGAAAAAAGACAAAAAGGAAAAAAAAAAAAAAGAAATTATTTTCAAGTTATAAAAGCAATAAATGTTTACAGCAGAAACATGAAAAACACAGAAAAGTATAAAAGAAAATATACAAATCAGCTAAAATCCCAATACTTGGGGATAACATTTAGAGCATTTCATTATAATGTTATTTTTATTTCTACATATGTAGAATGTCCTTACAGTTTTCAATATATTTTTCATAATACACGTGATGCTATTATGTTATCTTTTCTCTTTACATAACATTATATCCAGATCATTTCTCTTTGTGATAAAATATTCTTTAAAAAATATGAATTATAGAGCAGTTTAATACTCTGCCATGTACATTTATCATGCTTCATTTAGCTGGCTTCCTTTTGTTAGATATTTAGGTTGTCTCCTCTTAAATGCAAATAAAACAATGCTGTAATGAGCATTCTGGTATATACCTTTGGGACTTTTTTTTTATTGTTTCCAAACCAGAGGTTGAATTACTGAGTCAAAGAATGTAAGTGTTTTAGGAAGGTTATTGATGTAAATTGTCAAATCGCCCTTCATGGAGATTACAGTAATTTCTGTCTGGTACACTAAGTAAAACTTACTAATGCTGGTTCATTATGAAGTAATTTATAAGTCGTTGGATAACAGACTTGATTAGTCAGCAAAGGCTAATTGTAGGACAGAGAGAGAGAGAGAGAGAGAGAAAGCACCATTATCACCCCCACCATCAACAACACCACAATTTCAGTGGCTAACACCCTTTAATCGTAGTTTTCCTTCATTTTGGTTTCCAGTAGCCCTGCGTGGGAGTGGAGGGTGGAGAGTCTCACATTGCCCTAGATCTTCAGAGACCAAGGATCCTCATCCTTTGGTGCTGCTGTTTCAACCACAGAACTGAAAGAACAGAGTCGAACACAGAGGGTTTTAGTGGTCAGGAGAGGTTGTGGCAACTTTTACTTCTAATCACATTCCATTTGCCAGAACTTGGTCACACTGCCCCACCTACCCATGGGGGAAGCTGTGACATGAGTTTAGCTGTGTGTCTTGGAGCAAAGGAAATAGGGTTGGGTAAACACACAGCAGCTACCACAAGGACATTTGTGCCCGGTCCCACCCACCTTTGTTGGTCCTTAACCTCTATTCCTCAGGTGAGCGATTCTCTTTCCAGTTTCCTTCCATGGTTCCTCCTCAGTTCCTGTCCTTTGTCGTAATCGCCTCCTGCACACGTGCATGCCCACACGACACATGCACACACAGCTGCTCCTCCTGCCGGGTCCCTTCCTCCCAGCGTGCAGCCCTCTTGTGTCCTCTGAGTTCAACTGAGAACGATGAATGATAAGTGGCCACATACAGTTCTGACCAGTTCCCTACAGGACTTTCCAAGAGAGAGGAGCCAACCTGGTCCAGCAGTCACCAGGTGAGAGTGACAGAGGTGTCAGCTTGGTAGACAGTGCAAGGGTGGTCCCCCTGCCTGCTGGGGAAGGGAAGGGCTACTCCACACTTGCAGAGATGCTCAGAAAACCACTCAGAGGGACGGAGGAGGTGGATTGTAGAGAAGAGGCGAGAACCTCACTCCCGCTGCCTGTCAGCTGAGCTGCACACACTGTCAGCTGAGCTGCACACACTGTCAGCTGTGCTCCCCGGGAGAGCCCTGGGAAGGTCTGACTCGCAAGCCCAGGACTTTAGAGTGCATGGAAGCTGGGGCCTGACACTCGCCCAGGGGTCTGAAGGCAAGAGGCTGAAGGGCTACCTCAGTGGTAGGGTGAGGGGAGAGGGGCAGTAGGGAGAGCAGGTCCCCTGCTAGAATTCAGCGGAATGCGTGTGTTTTTGTTCTTGTTCCTGTGGATCAAATGGGCATCCAGAAATGTGCAAGGCTAATGCCAGGAAAAGGGGTCCCAGCAGCAGTAGCAGATGTGTGTGTAGGAGGGGACAACTGAGAGGCCAACTGGAAAGAGCATCCGTCACACCAGGAATAGAGAGGTAGGGCCCACAGAAGTGGGGATGGAGCCGGCACAAGTGTCCTAGCCATGTGGAAAGGGACTGTGTCCCTCACGGTATCAGCTCCTGTGTAAAGATTTAGAGCAGGGCCATCCATGCCAGGGGGTGTGGTGGAATGGGGGTGGCAATGTGCACCCTCTGCAGAGCCCCTCCAGAAAGCGATCCGTGCACTCATGGAGAAGCCCATATGTAGACACCTGCCATGACAGAGGACTTTTGACATCTGTGAGAAAATGACAGACTCCAGCAGCTTTTAAAAGAGACCTTCTTCTTCTTTGCGTCTCATCTGCCTTCCCCCACCTCTGACCATGATTGGAGATAGGAGGAGGCTGGGCGGTGAGGAGGTGGGTCAGGAAGAATGAAAGAACAGGCTTGCCCCTCCTTCCCTACGGCTGGCTGCCGAGCCAGGGGTCAAGACCGAGTGGAGGAGGGGACATATCTTTTACCTGGGTGAAAGACTGATGTTTGATTTCAATTGAACCCTTCGGGACTCTTCTGATACCTGAAAGTGACGGGGAGGCTTTAGGATCTGCCAGAGAGGTGGACAAAGAGAACGGGAGAAAGCTTCAACAGAATGCCTGAGGACAGGAAAATAAATGAGGTTGATTCCTAGGCGTAGCACACCAGCAGCTCATTGACTAAAGCAGGTGCCCCCGCATGTGTGTTGACTCCAGGAACCCGGAGTAACAAAGGCAGAAGGAGGGAGAGCTCCCGGGAGAGGACGCTGCAGCAGCGCAGGTCTGTTCTCTCCGTCTCCTTGTTCTATCTCCTCCCGCAGCCTCTCCTGACTCCCAATACACTAAAGGCAAAAATTTCTTCTTGCTCTGTTTTCCTAACAGTTATCAACAGACACTACAGGAAATCAGTCGTACAATTATGAGGGCACAGAAATATTTAGGAAAATCCCCATAACCAGGCTATTTTGCCAGTCCAGAGGCTCAGTGGTCACCCAGCCACTGACCAGCCCTGCCACCTTTGGCAACTGACCATGCTCCCTCCTGCCGTTCTTTGGTTACACTCTGAAAAGTGGGGATGCTTTTGTGAAAACAGCCTCTGACACTACCTTGGTAAGTTGCCGTGGCCCCGAGGCAGTGCAGTAGTGCTTATAACAACAGTCCCCAAGCTTCTGTTCTGGCAGATGCTTTGCACACATTTCCTCATTGTATCAATTATGATGCTCTCCATTGCAAGAAATAAGAAGTCCAGACCAAACTGATATCAGGTAAGTGAAAACCAAAATGATAAAGGGAATGTGGGGTTCTTATAACTGGAACATCTGGAGCTATGATGGCTTCATAAAGTCATCATCAGGGTAACATGTGAGAGACCCGGGCTCCTTTTCTCTGTCGTTTCTCATGTCTGCACCCCTAAGGGTATCAATTTCGTGTTAGTAACTGTGGATGCTGCAGCATCAAGCCTCCCACAACTTCCAGAGGGCAAGTGTCTCTTCTATTCGCTTTCTGCCAAAAGGGAGGTAGGCTCTTTCCCAGAACCACTCAGAAGTTCTCTCATGTCACTGGCCAGCACTGAGTTGCCTGCCAATTCCTGACAGAAGCCTGTGGCCAGGAGACTGGACTACGCTGCCAAACTTGGGCACGGACCCTGAAGCACTCACTGTGGCAGGGTGATCTGCCAATCAGGACCCACCCCTAGAAGAGGGATTGGTGTTGTTGGTTCCTTCCACCCAAACTTCACCGGCAAGATTTGTACAAGTTGTGCAGGAATCAGTCATGGTATCTTACTCTTCTTATACATTAGGATAATTCAGCATCCCTGTCATGATACAGCTAAGGAAACTGAGGTTCTGAGAGGCTAAATCTCTCCCAACATCACCCGAACATACAACTCCACCCAAAGTGTCTGAATCTATGGCCCATGCTCTACACCTGATCACCTGCTCATTCACCCAGCATTTATGGAGCATATACCTCCTGGTAGGTTTCTGTGTGTGCCACGATGTAGCAAGATGTGAGTTCTCTAAGGACTGGTCAAAGAACAGCTCCTCTTCTGCCAATTGGTAGTATCTTCTCACTGTAGGCATCATGACTGGGGTCCATGACATGAGATTTCCTACGCAGGAAAAGAAGCTTTTATATCAGGTGAGGAAAAGTTCCCACTGATTGTCTATGTGTGGGAAGCAGTGTTTATTCACTGCTTCGGACAGTCACAGAACTACGTCTAATGCTGGAAAATCAATCTATCCTCTCCTCCCAACTGGTAATGGAGAGGCAGCTCTCCTTAACCCAGATTAGGTGGAGGGAAGAGATGTGCTCCCGTCACTGTTGCCAAGACTAATGAAATAAAATAAAAACCCAGAACTCTAGAAGACACCAACTATGCTAAAGGAGCCCAGAGCGGCTGATATGATGGGCAAAGAGTCCCCCTTAACCCTCCCAGAAGTATTTGTAACAACAAAAAAACAAAGCTTGTTAACGTAAGGAATTGTCACCCTGGGTCTGAGGCAGTATCTGAGTTTAAGTTAGGTTGGTATTTAAAGTCCAAATGACCTCTCAGTGCAAGTTTTGCTGTGGGCTTTCCTGCGTCTTCCTCTTCCATGTCAGTGAGCTCCACCATGTGTGTTCTAGAGCATTCATCGGAACCAATTGTAAACACGAAAACTGGAATGCCCGTTCCTTTGTCCTTTGAGCTTTGCTAAGTGACATAGCAGGAGGCTCTTCTGGCAGAGACTGACACAGGGATTCTCTCACTGCCCAAATCCTCTTGCTGCTTTTCAGAAATGAACCGGCATCACTATGCCCTGTACGTGCACAACTGCCGCCTTGTCTTCCTCCTGCGGAAGGACTTCGACCAGGCCGACACCTTTCGCCCTGCAGAGTTCCACTGGAAGCTGGACCAGGTATGGCACTCACTTCCCTGCCCCACTCACGCCTTTGCAGGGGTGGTCAGTGTGCTCAGTGGTGATGGCAGCAGGTAGGCACCGCAAGGTCTGGTCACTTGGTGGTGTTTGCTCAGGGAGACACACAGAATCTGAAAGTCAGGGTGGAAACGGCCTCCTTGAAGCCAGTCGGAGGTGGGGAGGCCACACCTCCCAGCTGCGTCTTGTGCATTTGCTCCACGTTGAGCTCCTGGGAGGCTGGCCCCGTCTGTGATCTTTGCCACTACATCCTTATATCATAAACGCTCCGTGTCTCCTCTTTGGTGCTCTACTACCTCCTTTGAGTGACAGTGCAGCCTTGCTTTTGGTGACACAAGCTGAGAACAGGGACCTGAGGACTTTGAAGTAAACAGTGACACAGAGTGCTATGAGCAGCGCATTCTCTTTCTGAAGTGGAAAAATCTATGACTCACTCCAGAGCCTCATGACTTTTGATCACAGGTCCACTGAGTCATACTCGTCAGTGACAAATCAAGTGTCTGGTTTGAATCCAAAGCTATGAAACATCTCTTTCCGAGGCTGTGTAGCATCGAGGCTGTGGAGGCAGCACTCGCTTCTCCGGGTGGGGGTGCACCCAGCACGAGTCTGTGCAGCAGGCCTAGAATTGGCTTTTGCTTAGATTTGAAAGGGGCCGGGGGCTAATTTTTTAAATGAGTTTGAACGATCAGGAGGGAGAATGTCAGTAGGCAGAGGATGGGACTGAAGAACATGAGCAGCTTAATGAAGCAGAGGAAACGATGCTCGTGGGACCCTTACCGCCTGGGGCCCCAGCATCTCCTTTCGCTTTCATTCCGCCCCACCCATATCCAGAGTTGAGTGCACCTGAGACCCTCAGTCTTCTCTTTTTCACTGTGTGCACTACCTGCCTCACCCTGCTGAGGGCCGATTGCTTTATAACTTGTTCCTTTCTCTCTCCTTGTCAGTCCATCTCCACTCCATCCTCTTCCTATGCCACCTAATTCCCCAGGCCCCGGTGGTCTGATTTCAGAAGGTGGTCCTGGCAAACATTCCAGGAGGAACTAATTCAAGCACTTTGAGATGTGAACGATTGCTGCCCCCTCTCATCCTCACAGATGTACACAGATGTGCTCTTCAAAACAGTCATTCACCCCAGGCAACCTCTCGGTGGTAGAACTCCAGGCAACATGATGAGATGAAGGGTGCCGGGCTGATGGGAAAGATGTTTGGGGGATCCCAGTGGCAACTGCCTAATCCATCCCAGTAAATCCCATCCTGCTGGATCCCAGAGTTCTGCAAATAGAACATCTGGATTAGTTTCTGTTCCTCTGAGCTAGGAATTCTGGGTCTTGCAGGAATTGTGAAATCCTGAGATCGTTTATTTGATTTCTCAGCAATCTTTCAGCTATGTCCTAAAGTGCCATTTGGCTTTGATGGGATGTTTTTAAATATATAACATAAATTGAAGTGAATTAAAATAAATTCCATATGTTGAGCATTTTTTTTTTAATAAGAACATTGCAGTACTGGTCGAGATCATTATAAATACCCTGTAACGTTTTCTAATGTGGAATTAGGAAACACTGACACAGGCAAATTAAGTCACAGGGTTTGAAATTAAAAATAGGAGAAGGAATTCTGGTTTTACAGATCAAGCCTTAGTGAATCTAGCAGTTCTAAAATCTGTCCCCAAAATGGTGACCGTAAGGACGGGCTGAGATTCACTGCACATATGTGAGGTCATTCTCATCTCTGCTGCAGTCCTTCCCAGTGGCCAATCGAGGTGGGAGCCAGACATCACACAGAAAACCATGGGCAGGACCTGCCCTTTGCATGATGTCATGCTGCTGCTTTGGTGAGCTTGCTAATTTAAAATTTAAATGTTTATATTTTTACATTTCAAATTTTTTAAGTGCAGAGATTGGAATTACCACTGAAATTCAAACTGTGCATAGCCTTGATGGAACACTATGAACTGTCAGGACTTCTCTTTGCTCAACCTCTGCCTTCTTCCATGTCTTTGTCAGCTCAGGTGCCATAACAAATACCACAAGCTGGGTGGCCTAAACAACAGAAAGTTATTTTCTCACAGTTTAGGAGTCTGAGAAGTCCATGGTCCAGGTGCCAGCCAGTTCAGTATGGTGAGGGCTCTTCTTAGCTTGGAGAAGCCTCCTCTCTGTGTCCTCACATGGCAGAGAGAAACCTGGGGTTTTGTCCTTTCCTTATAAGGAACCAGTCCTGTGGAATTAGGGTCCCGCCTTATGACCTCATTTAACCTTAGTTACCTCCTGAAGGCCCTATCTCCAAATACACTGGGGGTCAGGGTTTCAAAATATGAATTTTGGGGGGACATTATTCAGTCTGTAATATTCCTCTACTAAATAAATTAACATTAAAAATTTTTAAAGACTGCTTAATAATGATCAGAAGCCCCAGCTCACCTGGACAGTTGCCCCCCTCTGAAGGAACCCACAGTGGGTAGGGTGTAGGAAACCTCAGCTGTACCCATGCTGGAAATCCAGTGGATGTCAAGATCAAAAGAAGGGAGAGATTAAGGAAGGGGGGGGACGGAGGAGGGAGAGAGGGTAGGAGAAAAATCCAGAGATCTGTCAACACCTGGTGATTAGTTGATCTTTGATTCATTTGATCGAGCATTTTAAAACTCTCAAGTTTCACCACGTTTTACTTGTTGGGCCTTGACCATTGTTCATCTTTGATCACGATACCTTATTTCAAAGACCCTTCTGGATTCCACCAGTGCTCTGTAATGGAAAGAACTCAAGGAGGTCTAATGTATTGTGTGCATTCAAACTCCTGGCCCGCCATGGGAATTCCAGAAGCCTGATTTCTGTTCTAATGCCTGAGGGGGACTCATTTATTTCTTTATTCACCAGTTCAATCTGAGCCAGCTCTGTGCTGAGCACCCAGGATCAGCAGCGAAACTAGGAGCCTCTGCTCTCTAGAGGTTTCCGCAATCATGGGTCAAACACACACATAGTTTACAATAGGTTCTGGGGCAGAAGGTGGGGGTGGCTGGGGGTCTGTGGGAGCCCATGTGTGGGCACCTGACGTGGACCTGGGGATGAGAGTCAGGGGAAGCCTCTGGGACTCGACATCTGAATGGGGTGTGGAGGGCTCCATGGTGTGGGGCCAGGTGGCCCAGGTGGCAGAGCAGTGAGCAGGAGGGAACTGGAAAGGCACAGATCAGGGAAGTGGAGGGCCACGGTCAGAGAACTGGAAGCCTTCGGTGTGGCCGGGCATAGACAGGGGCAGAAGAGAAGACCTTGCCAGGTGTTAGGACCCAAGTATGGAGGAGCAGGTGGGAATTAAATCCCAAGTGGCTTTTTATATCATGTTATTGAGTTGGTTCTTTATTCCCAAAGGAATAGGCCACAATCAAAGCATCTGGTATTCAACAGAAGACAGAATTTTAGGGATGGGCAAATATTTAGAATGCTAGTATAACATTCATCAAAATTATCAAATTTAAGTAGATATAACTCAGGCCAGGCCATTCCATGGGGCTAGTGACAGGGGCTGTGTGAGAGCAGAGCCTGCCCCCTGCCTGCTCCACAGCCAGGCTGGGAGACCCAGCACGAGACAGGTGTGTTTGACCAGCTGGCTCCTCTCAGGATTGGCAGCAGGGCATGATGCACGGAGTGGTTTCCACATAGCCCTGCAGAAGCATGCCTGGTCAGTGAGGCAGTCGCCACAGAGGTGCCGTGCGCTCTGTCAGCCCAGCCCTTTGCCCCACACCTCAGGAGGCCTTTGCCAAGGTGCATGGACAGCCAGGTAAATCCATTAGCAAGCAGCTCCAGGAAATGCCCCTGACAACCCAATGCATCTCACTGAAGTGATCATAACAATGAGGAAGATGTCATTTTAATGGGATTTTTACTTATGATCTGTTGATGCAAATCCCTTGAGCCTGCAATTAGTCATGTGCAAACCCAGACTGGAGCAAAGGAGAATGCCCAGCTGCCAGCACACTCAGGAAAGGTTTATTAATTTGCAGCCCCTCCTGGCTTTAATAGTATTTGGATATGGTTGACTCAGTGTCACAAATTCCAACATCTTCCCTTTGGACCTGTCGGTGCTTGAAGGGAAACCTGCTGGTAGTTTACAGCACGTTCCACTTATTGGAAGACACAGCTTGAGTGACAGCCTCAATTGCCCAGCAAACGCACAGGTGCTCCCAGCTCATGTGAGGAAAAACTGCATCTCTGAAAAGTTGCAATGAGCCCCAGATGCAGCAGTCAGATCCATTCAGTTGGCTGTTGTCCTCTCTGTGCCAGAATTTGGAACAGACTCCAGGGATGGAGAGAAGAAAAACACAGCTCCACCCTGGGGAAGCTCAGGCCCTGCCAGCTTATACCCAGTTTGTGTTGCCTGGGGAGTATTCTCTGCAGGAGTCAAAACTCTAATAACTGTGGGCAGGGAGAAGCAGCAAGAATGAGCGAAGATACCTGGCTGGATGAATTTAAGATCCAGCTGAAAAAAATTTTTTTAAATCTATTAAAAAATAAAGATTCAGCTTCCCACATAGCTCCAGGCCATACAAGAATCCTGGCCAAGTGCTGCACTATCAATTGTGCAGAAGTTGGAAATCAGATTTTCAGGGAAAATCTACCAATTTTTAATATTTTCTCCTTAAAAAAAAATAGCATTGGGCCAAACAAAATAATCTGTAGCCCACCTTTATCCTCTGGTAGCTAGTTTGAGACTACTGATTTAAAAAACTATGATCTTAACACAAGAAAACCATGTGATAATGTGTCTGTTTGAGAAGTTTGGACCTTCTTAAATGAGGCCTACTTGTGCTTTGTAAGTGCTTCCCGTTCTCCCAGCCCTCTGCACCCCCCATAGAGAATGCTGACTCTCCAGATGGGAAGGGGCAGGGGTGAGTGGGGTGGGGGGTCCCTTCAACCCAGGCCCTGGTGCTGATGGTGGTCGTCCTTCCTCCTGCATAAAGGAGAGAGTAAGTCATGGGCTCAAGTCCCCCA